CTTCCTATGAGTCTGAGGACACAGGTTAGCCTCAACCCAGGCGAAATGGGTATAGCTTTGACCATACACGGGGTTTGTTGGGGGCATAGTGACATCCTTGGGGCCCTGCCTTCAGGATTCCCAAAGGAATCACACCATATTTAGTTGTCCAGGGATGATTTTAGGGTTTTTGTGGCCAGCCATTTGCCTTTTTCACAAATTGTACCTAGACTAGGTTAGGACATCAGCAAAATGGTTTAGGCTTGAGCCATCTCTGGCATTGGGACTGGGCTCTGGGGTTGTAACTTCACAAAACTTCCCTATAGAGAATTCCCTGGAGATGAGTTCAGTGGGGAAGGCTGGCTATACTACAGGCATATCGGGAGTAGAAGTGGGCCTAAGGCAGGGAGTGACCTGCAGACTCTGGTTTAGGGGGTCCTACTTCCTGACTGGAATCAGTCATTGTTAAGATGAACATGGATACGTCCTCCCCCACCATCCTATGAAGTGTGCCAATCACTGAAGAAAAAAAAAAACTTTGCAAAAGAGAGTTTATTCATCAGGCAGCCGAAGTGAAGAGGGAGCCCCAAGCCTTTAACCAACCACTTCCCCAAAACTGGGCAAGGTAGGGAGGGTCAGAAGTTCAGCGTCATCTTGTGCTACAAAAGAGTTCAGAGTCAGCCTGGATTACGTGAGACCCTGACTCAAAATAGGAAAAAAGGTAAACCTGCCACTCTGAGGACAGAGCTTAGAAATAGTAAGGGGGAAACGATGCAGGCGTGGGGAAAGATGGCTGGAGGCCGACGGAAGTGAAGGACTTGATGGTCTGCACATGCAGTCTCAGAGAATGGCTGCACCGGGGAGCTCAGAGGGTAAAGCTTCCGTCTTCCAGAGTCATCCATTGGTCATGTATTCAGTCCTGAGTGGACGGGTAGTGATTCCGGCTGGTCAGAGATCAAAATCAGCCTCCAAAGTCCTAAAGCAACCCAAAGAGCCATTGCTGGGGCTGGAGAGATGACTCAGAGGTTAAGAGCACTGACTGCTCTTCCAGAGGACCTGAGTTCAATTCCCAGCAACCACATGGTGGCTCCCAACCATCTATGATGAGATCCGATGCCCTCTTCTGGTGTGCAGGCAAAATACAGACAGAACACTGTGTACAGAATAAATAAATAAATCTTAAGAAAAAGAAAAGATAAAAGAACCATTGCTGTCTGGCTGAGGCTACTACCCCCCGAGACCGGAGGAAGCAGTGACTAAAAGCAGGTGAAGCTGCAGGTTTTGTTCTTGTTCTCCCTCCGTTTTCTCTTCACTACGAAAGGCTGGGAACATGTCCTGACTAGGACAGCCACCAGTTGGGCACAGCAAGCTCCTTTTGCAGGCTGCCTGGGGGACCCAGGGTTGCCAGGAAGTTGTCAGGTTTCCATCAGACCCCTGCAGGGCAGGTCCAGAGCCTGCCTGATGTCCTAGGAGGCCCCTGCGGAAGTGGTGGAGCAGGAGACTGAGCTGAAACAGCGCGGGGGGG